TAAGTTTGAGATCTGAGCTTGTGGAAGTTTGGCCATCCAGTGCAATGACCCAAACCCTTTATTCGATTTTTTCTTTGCATAGCCTTCCTACATTCTATTGTTGCCTCAAATGAACTGGTAACCCTTTATATAGATTTCTTCCCACCCCATAGAAGAGATAAAGCTATTTAAAGCAAGATAACAGGCATCTGGCCTCATTCTGCCACCCTTTTTTTCCTCCTTATGACTGATGTCATTCCAGTCTCCTAAAATAGTCTAGTAGTCACCCCAATCTTCCATATCATTTTCTATGATGCTTCATGGACTGATTCTGGTAGCCTTATCTGTACCGATGTAAACAAAGGTGATCCAAAAGGGGATCTTCATCTTTGGCAATAAAAGTTGGACTTGGATGAAAAAATCTGAGCTTCTGATATGGATAATTTCAGGTTCAGAGTCCCACATCAACAATAGACCACCCTTAGTTCCTAAGGGTCCACAAATCAAACCCTGTCTTCAAAACCTAACCTTCTGCAAACTTCCATAGCATTTTTTTTTTTAACTTAAAAAAGACAAACAAAATTGGGATGGTGAGATAGAACTACCTCTCTTATGTGGGAGACTGCAAAAGGGTCCACTTAGACCTCTACAATTCCACACCATTGCTTTCATTGAGGGGTTGGGGCCATTTGTGGCTAGCTTCCTCCACCTTTTCCTCTGAATGTTTGGTTTCTTGAATTATGTGGTTTCTCACTCACAAGGCCCTTTGAAACTGCTGTATGATATCCTCATTAGTCCTCTTTTGACCCTAAGTTGAAGGAGTTTCTAAGGTCTCAATCCTGTTTTTCGCTAGTCTGCCCACCTTAGTAGCTACTCTTTTCCAGGTTTTTCTCTGTGTCACCTTAACTGTCATTTCTGAGGATTCTTGACCTTTTTCTATCTGCATAGCAAGGTCCATTTCCCAAGTGCTGGGAGTCCACATGAGCCTTTGAAGTTAGTTGTGTGCTAGAGTTGCTTTCTTGAATATGGTTTAGAAAAGCCACTATATCTTTTCCTTTTGGGCTTAGATTGGAGTAATGAAAGGAGGCTAATGATTCTTCAACCACTCGTGGACATTTCCCCAATACATGAATAATCTTTTGTAGAGAGGAGTTATTGGTGTTCTTACTCAGGGAGTGTAGTTGGGGTGTGAAATCATTCCTGCCTTCAGTGCAGGTGCTATGTATAACCTCCTTCTTTAGTAGACTGGGATTGAGTACTCTGAGGTTGGGAGTTGGAAATGATTGTACACTCCAAAGCTTTCATCCACTCACTATATTGACCTTCATTAAGAGTATGGTTTGTATCCTCCTCTTTTTTTTTGTGGCAACTTCTATCAGTATGACTCACTCGACCACAATAGTAGCAAAGGCATACTAACTCTTCGTATTGGAATTGAGTGGTGATCACTTGCTCCCCCAACCGAATTTTTGTCCACCTCGGGAGGGGTTCCTTTTTAGATAAAATCAAACTTGCAGCCTGATAACCCTGCCACCTTGCCCCTTGCCTTAGCCAAGTTGACATACTTCACTCTCTTGAAGACCCTGCCCAGGTTTAGACCGACCTCTGTACTTAACCAGTGTACTAGGATTCCATGTGTTTGAACCCAAAGAGTAACCTCGTCAAAGCTAGAGTGAGAAGCTGATATGCCCTCTGTCCACTCTTAAAGAATTAGATGTTGGTTCTCGAAGATCTAGCTTTTCCCTTCTACAACGTTAGTTAAGTCCTCACTCTTTTGGAATAGGAATTGAAAGTAGTTGGTGCCCAATTCCCGAACTTCAAGTGAGTTACTAATTTCCATAGTATGCTCATAGTGATTGACGCCCACCTAATTAGCTTTTCGTTCTCAAACTATTTTACCCAACAGACTTCTCCGGCATTAATCTTCACTTAGTTTGACATCTTTCTTCTCTAGATCACTAACCGCAATCTCGACGTCAGAAAGGGTGAATTTTCCAAGCCGTTGCCCTAATTCATCCTCCATGCCTCGGTACTGAGAGAATCTGATGCCCCAACACCCGATAAACATAAACGGAAAAGAGACTCCTAACACTAAGAGAGGGGAAATCTCGATGAAGAAGGAGACTCTCGAACAAGGAGAGAAGAACTCACGAAGGAGAAGAACTCTCGAACAAGTTACATATGTGGAAATATAGACTTACTGTTGAAATGGACCTAGTAACAAAATAATTCTCCATAACATAAAGGGAAAGAAGAAACTAACATGCATATTTGTGTACTTTAGCGAAAAGTAACATGCATATTTGTGTACTTTAGCGAAAAGTATGCATCAAGTTTTCGAGTTTTCTAGTCTCTTTCGCTCCAATCGCCCGCCTCTCTCTCTCTCTCTCTCTCTATCTCTCCTCAGTAACTCACTCACTCCAACCCCGCCTCTAGACTCAGTTCTCACTCGTTCTCTCCGGCTTGGCACACACTCTTCTTCGCGCCTGACGCCTCCGAGTGTCCGAAACAAAACTCCGGCTGGCTCACCTCCCGAAGTACGACGCCTCGCCTTCTTGTTGCACATTCCGTTTGTAAATATTATTCCGACTTTTGATACGATTATTATTGAGCATTTGCTTTTAGAAACTACATACTATGGTTTAAATTGTAGAAACTCGAACTGTAGGTATTTTTCTACATGATATTAAAAACTCACTTGGGGAGACTTTGTTAGGTAGAACCACAATATAATTTCTTATGTGTTCTTGAGAAATCTGTAGTGTAACTGGCGTTTTCCTAATTTTTTGATATTTCCCCGAAAGTGAATTTATGAGCTGATTTTATTTGAAATGGATTAAGTGAAAAAATTGGTTAGGAGCTCTGTGGATGTGGATGTATGTTTGTCATGGCAGTTGGTGAGTTGACTACAGTATGTTTAACCCCTAGTACTTTATTCCTTTAATGAATTTCCCATCTTCATAGTGCACTGATGTCATGATGCTGGTCTGTGTAACCGTAATACATGATTTGTGGCCAGTGTAACCATAATACATGATGTTGTGCTAATTCTTATATCATACTTACGTAAGTATGTTCAGCTGTGAGCACACGATACGTAGGGTGCTAGTTTCTTGCTTTGTATTGTGATTAATTTTGTTGTTCTTCAGGAAACCTGATTCCCCAAGAACTCGGCCTAGACAAAATGTGAATGAAATCAAAGATGGTACGCCAAAGAAGCAAAAACAGTGCAACTGCAACCATTCTCGTTGTCTGAAGCTGTAAGGAGTTTCTACTTTATATTCTTCGGTTTATATATGTAACTGGCTAGTAAGATTTTGCAATCTTCACATACTTACAGTGAATTTTGTGAAGCATTTTCTGAACCTGAAGTGATGGCTAAATATTGATAGAAATAGGCACATAAATCATTGAATGAAGGTTCAATATATTTCAATGTATGTATTACTCATTTGTACTATAAAATCCTATATTTTCGACTTCCAACCAGATTTAATTTCAAATTCTTTGAAATATAATGAGCATAAGAAAAGTTACTCTGCTGACCTAAAAGATTTTATCGGGATTGACAATTTGGATACTTATGTCTGTATATTTGTGAGTGATATAATGACTTCTTCATTTACAGAGCTGGAGGTCCTGACATTTTTCCTGACTCTATAGTATTTAATCAGGAATGATGTTATCTGCATTATTTTCCTGACTTCCATTTAAGCATGTATTATTCAGAGATCATATGGCTATTTTTATGTGCATTATTTTATTAGCTGCTCTTTTGGAGGTTTTCTCTGTGTCGCCTTAACTGTCATTTCTGAGGATTCTTGACCTTTTTCTATCTGCATAGCAGTGTCCATTTCCCAAGTGCTGGGAGTCTACATGAGCCTTTCGAGTTAGTTGTGTGCTAGAGTTGCTTTCCTGAATATGGTTTAGAAAAGCCACTATTTCTTTTCCTTTTGGGCTTAGATTGGAGTAATGAAAGGAGGCTAATGATTCTTCATTCCCTTGTCGACATTTCCCCACTACATGAATAATCTTTTGTAGAGAAGAGTTACTGGTGTCTTTACTCAGGGAGTGTAGTTGGGGTGTGAAATCTTTCCTGCCTTCAGTGCAGGTGCTATGTATATTGCCTCCTTCTTCAGTAGGCTGGGATTGAGTACTCTGAGATCGGGAGTTGGAAATGATTGTACCCTCCAAAGCCTTCATCCACTCACTATATTGACCTTCATTAAGAGTATGGTTTGCTATATCCTCCTCTCTTTCTTTTTTTTTTTTGTGGCAACTTCTGTCAGTATGACTCACTCCACCACAATAGTAGCAAAGGCATACTAACTCTTCGTATTGGAATTGAGTGGTGATCACTTGCTCCCCCAACCGAATTTTTGTCCACCTCGGGAGGGGTTCCTTTTTAGATAAAATCAAACTTGCAGTCTGATAACCCTGCCACCTTGCCCCCTGCCTTAGCCAAGTTGACATACTTCACTCTCTTGAAGACCCTGCCCAGGTTTAGACCGACCTCTGTACTTAACCGTGTACTAGGATTCCATGTGTTTGAACCCAAAGAGTAACCTCGTCAAAGCTAGAGTGAGAAGCTGATATGCCCTCTGTCCACTCTTGAAGAATTAGATGTTGATTCTCGAAGATCCATCTTTTCCCTTCTACAACGTTAGTTAAGTCCTCAATCTTTTGGAATAGGAACTGAAAGTAGTTGGTGCCCATTTCCCGAACTTCAAGTGAGTTACTAATTTCCGTAGTATGCTCATAATACATTTGACGCCCACCCAATTAGCTTTTCGTTCTCCAACTCTTTTACCCAATAGACTTCTCCGGCATTCATCTTCACTTAGTTTGACATCTTTCTTCTCTAGATCAATAACCGTAATTTCGATGTCAGAAAGGGTGAATTTTCCAAGCCGTTGCCCTAATTCATCCTCCATGCCTCGGTACTGAGAGAATCTGATGCCCCAACACCCGATAAACATAAACGGAATAGAAACTCCTAACACTAGGAGAGGGGAATCTCGATGAAGAAGGAGACTCTCGAACAAGGAGAGAAGAACTCACGAAGGAGAAGAAGTCTCGAACAAGTAAAGACATAATACTTGATTCAGTAGATATATTTTAACATTAATATATTACATATGTGGAAATATAGACTTACTGTTGAAATGGACCTAGTAACAAAATAATTCTCCATAACATAAAGGGAAAGAAGAAACTAACATATGCACATTTCTGTACTTTAGCGAAAAGTAAATTAGGCATCAAGTTTTTGAGTTTTCTAGTCTCTTTCGCTCCAATCGCCCGCCTCTCTCTCTCTCTCTCTCTCTCTCTCTCTCTCTCTCTAACTCACTCACTACATCCCCGCCTCTAGACTCAGTTCTCACTTGTTCTCTTCGGGCATGGCACACACTCTTCGTCGCGCCTGACGCCTCCGAGTGTCCGAAACAAAACTCCGGCTGGCTCACCTCCCGAAGTCCGACGCCTCGCCTCGCTTCGCGTCGCCTTCTTGTTGCACATTCCGTTTGTAAATATTGTTCCGACTTTGATACGGTTATTATTGAGCATTTGCTTTTAGAAACTATATATTGTGGTTTAAATTGTAGAAACTCGAACTGTAGGTATTTTTCTACATAATATTAGAAACTCACTTGGGGGAGACTTTGTTCTGTAGAACCACATTATAATTTCTTATGTGTTCTTGAGAAATCTGTAGTGTAACTGGCATTTTCCTAATTTTTTGATATTTCCCCGAAAGTGAATTTATGAGCTGCTTTTATTTGAAATGGATTAAGTGAAAAAATTGGATAGGAGCTCTGTGGATGTGTATGTATGTTTGTCAAGGCAGTTGATGAGTTGACTACAGTATGTTTAACCCCTAGTACTTTATTCCTTTAATGAGTTTCTATCTTGATAGTGCACTGATGTCATGATGCTGGTCTGTGTAACCGTAATACATGATGTGTGGCATGTGTAACCATAATACATGATGTTGTGCCAATTCTTATATCGTACTTACGTAAGTATGTTCAGCTGTGAGCACACGATACGTAGGGTGCTAGTCTTTTGTTTTGTATTGTGATTGATTTTGTTGTTCTTCAGGAAACCTGATTCCCCAAGAACTCGGCCTAGACAAAATGCGAATGAAATCAAAGATGGTACGCCAAAGAAGCAAAAACAGTGCAACTGCAAGCATTCTTGTTGTCTGAAGCTGTAAGCAGTTTCTACTTTATATTCTTGGGTTTATATATGTAACTGGCTAGTAAGATTTTGCAATCTTCACATACTTTCAGTGAATTTTGTGAAGCATTTTCTGAACCTGAAGTGATGGCTAAATATTGATAGAATTAGGCACATAACTCATTGAATGAAGGTTACCAGATTTGTTTCAAATTCTTTGAAATATCATGAGCACAAGAAAAGTTACTCTGCTGACCTAAAAGATTTTATCCAATGACAATTTGGATACTTATGTCTGTATATTTGTGAGTGATATGAGATAATGACTTCTTCATTTACAGAGCTGGAGGTCGTGACATTTTTCCTGACTCTATAGTATTTAATCAGGAATGACTATTTTTATCTGCATTATTTTCCTGACTTCCATTTAAGCATGTATTATTTGAGAGATCATATGGCTATTTTTATCTGCATTATTTTAGTGCTAAATTTGAGTTCAGAATAATACTTTAACCAAGGGCTTTGTGTTTTAAAATGGCCATTGGATAATATACTCATCATCCGACTGCCATTATGTTCTCGTACTTAGTAAACAAAGACCGATTATTAATTGAACTAGTCAATACATTCTTTGTTTCCTTTAAACTCAAACTCTGAAAGAGATTGTTTCGAACATGCAACTGAGGATCATAATTTCCCTCTTGATTTGGAACCGCTATAAACTGAGAGAGGGAGGGAGGGAGGATTTGTCGTAAAATAATGTCAAGGTCTGGAGGTAGTGATGGCTGTGGATGGCGGAGATGAAGTGGGTTAGGTGTAAGATGTGGGGAAAATGAAGACTTAAAAGGGAGAGACAAAATTGGTATTTTTAATTTTCATGGTTTGGGCCGTTTGGCATGTTTGGATCTTTGCGTTTTGATCTTTGAATTGTATAGCACTTGTTAACAACTATGTTGCGTCCTTTGAATGAGATCAGTTCATATTCTAATATATTTGCTAACAGCTACTTTGGCACAACAGGTGTCATTGGGATTATAGTTGTTATGGCGAGCACATCTCTTCCACCCAGATTCCGTTTTCATCCAACGGACGAGGAGTTGATCCTGTACTATCTCAAGAGAAAGCTCATGGGTAAGAAAATCAAATTAGCAGCGATTGCGGAGGTCAATATCTATAAATTCGCTCCTTGGGACCTTCCAGGTCCGTCGCTTCTATTAAAATTTCTAGCTTTTCATTTTTTGTAACATTTGAATGTATGCCGATTGTCACTCAATACATTAACTTATGCTGATTGTCGTTTTATTATTTAGTAGTTCAATTTAAATCTAGATACTAGAACTTTTATAACAATGTCAGTCAAGCGTAGTAGGGCCCTCGTATTTGTTATAGTTCACAAGTTTCTTTTGTTCATCACTTCATTGCAGATCAATCTTGCTTGAAAAGTAAGGATCTAACTTGGTACTTTTTCTGTCCAAGAGAGAAGTACCCAAGTGGATCTAGAGTGAAGCGGGCTGCTGAAAAAGGGTACTGGAAGACATCTGGGAAAGACAGAGCTGTGCACCACAAAGATAAAAAAGTCGGAACAATAAAGTCATTGGTTTTTCACTTGGGTCATGCACCCAAAGGGGAAAGGACCAACTGGGTGTTGCACGAGTATCAAATTCTGAATGAACAACTAGCTGCAGCAGGAATTCAGGTACTATATTTCTTTACTGTGTCGTGTTGCATTCTTAAGAATGCATTTTAAAATTCACTCTTATTTTCCCTTTAACTGCAGGTATTCCAATCGTTGTTTGTTTTTTATACAATATTGTCAAACATAATGAATTGAGTTTTATTTTCCCTTCTAAATATACATCTGATTTTAATTTTTTCGACCACTTCAATCTTATGCAATTAGCTTATCTGCCTTAAGATTCTTGATAGTGGCTTGGGCCATTACATTTTTTCATCAGTGTAAGTTAAAGTCAAAATGCCAAGTTTAATGGATTCTTTAATCCTGATGTAGTTTTAAGATAGCATATCTGGAAACTCCTCTGCCAGTTTTCTGAGTTAACCACTTATGCCGTTTGTTAGTGATGACAGATCTAATAGAATTAATATTATCGTAGAGAAACATAATTTTAATTCTAATATTAAGTGAAATCTAATAGGGTAACTTTATTATTGCATCTGAGTGAGATTATATGTCCAAGTTTGAGTAGAGATCTTTCGAACTTTATTATTGTTGTATTAAGTGAAAAATATACTGCAGGATACATATGTGCTGTGTAAGATCTTTCAGAAGAATGGTCCAGGACCAAAGCATGGCGCGCAATACGGGGCGCCCTTTAACGAATCTGATTGGTCTGATGATGACATGGATGATTTTGCACTTGGCGGCCCATCAACAACTCAATACTTGATTGAAGATCAAATGTGTCCTCCAGTAACTTCTAGCTTCCCTTCTCAACTAACCAATGAAGATTTAGTTGAACTTTTGACCCCGTTAACAGATGATGACATGTTGATTTTTAATGAGTATGGACAGGTAAATTTACTTCTAACTATTTATGTATATGGATATGATATAGGATAAAAAATTAGCTACTGCTCATTATTACTATATTACAGTTTTATTCCATCTTATACACGTCCTATCTCATAATTCTCTAAGTGCTTTTGGACTGATAATAAGTAGCAGCTGGAGATGAATGATACATCGGAGTCCCACGAGCTATTGTCTCCATTGAGCTGTCTCGAATCTAGCGAGAATGTTCAGTCATCAACCAACGAGATATTTGAGGACATACTTGCTTCCAGTCCATGTGGTGAGTAATCATTTTTTATATTTCCATGTTGCTGATTTTTTTCTCTTATAAGTTCTTTTAAGCAACCGTAGAATGCAGGTTGACGGCTCACTTATCAAAGGGGTACCTGATTATGATTTCGATTTTGCATTTGGTCTGGCACTCATTTCGCTTCAGCAAGTTTTGTTGATAGTTCTTGTCGCACAGAGTTACTACATTTTTTTCACATTGTACTCCGGCAGTTTTTGAAGAATTAAAACACGGTTTTTGCAAAGATGTTTGCTGTAGGATGCCTTGTGAAACTCGGTCATGGATGTCATTGTTGAAAAGAAGAGAGAAAGAATTGTAATATTGCCTTCTTTTTTGTTGGGAAGTATGAGAGTTGTCTATTCCTCAACCCATACAAGCATTTTATAACTCGATCAGAATTATTGTTAGGAAAATATATAACAGAATTATTGTTAGGAAAAATATATAACTAGAGTAGAGTAGCCAAATATTTAGTTTTGTCTCTATACTACATTATATTCTACATTAAATATATTATTCTTTTGTTTATTTTTCATTTCAAATAAATTCTTATATATATGTATATTAATTTTATATAAATTTTTTATTCATGTGTTCTGTAGATTTTTAAGTCATCTGAATTTTAATCATGTTGTGTTCTTTATGTATTTTACGATTTATGTCGGGTAGCTTTTCATTTTAATGGAACTTTTTATAATGATTTACATCTAACAGCTAGTACGAATCTCGTGCGATAGACGGGTAAGAAATACTCATTGATATTATAATTTAAAATGCTTATTAATATAAATGAAAAATATAAAATAATATGTACTACAGTTTACCTATATTTATTATCGAAAATGTTCATAAAATTTAAATTTTGCAAAACTACACGAAACATGTATATTTTAAATTGGTATACAACTTGTACGATCCAAGTGATGATAATAAATTACATTATATTTATTTCAAAATAAATGTCATTTTAAGATATTAAAAAAATTGGTTTGACTACGATATGATTGCATAAAATAATTAGTTTGGTAAAATTGTATCACATATTTAAAAATCTATGTGAATAATAATTGTAATTATATAACTTATATTGTTTCATTAATTAAAATCAATTTATTTTTTGCATAAATTATCCAAACTAAAAAAATTAGATAGTCGAGTGATTCATTAAACTATAAATAATTGCTTAATCCATTTAAGTCTAAGTTAATAGTGACATGTAAGTTATAAATAGTTACTTATTTTAGTTTAAAATTTGGAATCTAAATTTAGACTACACAATAATTTCCCTTATATATTGTGTGTCTATA